ATTTACAGAGATAGTACAGTTTGAGAAGTTCAGGGGCTGAGCCTGGTGATAAGGATGCTTGGCTGAAGTTAACCTCCCATTTTTGTGGTCAGTTTTAATTCTCACCTGCCGCAGGTGGGGCTGGCTATGATTAGCTCCCAACTCAAAACACTTCCTCCCCTGCTTCCCCCCCGCCCCCCGTCCCCCCCAGGTCTTAGTTTAAATCCTTACCTCTTGGACCAATGGGTAGGCATGTGTGTGACTGGTGAGGAATCAAAGGGGTCTGTTTTCGAAAGAATGTGTTTAAAGGATACTGGAAATCATTGTGACCTAAAACTATTGTGATTTGTGTCCTAGAGGGAGATACAGTATGTAGTATTTTCCAGATATGTTGGACCTCAGAACCGTTGTTACTAAGGAAGATTTTGTTCTAAGGAATTTACTTTGAGAAACACTATGGATCAAATCCACACTTACTAGCGTGGCACTTTAGGCATTACCACATCTCATATCACCCTATCTGTCCAAACTCATTTTTGAGAATTCCATGTGTGCTGTGCTTGAACCATGTAGAAGGTACCTAGTTTGATAGCGACTAGATTTTTATCTCCTGCATCTTGATTTTCTCTTGTTTATGTTTTTCTAGCTTATTATAAGCCTAAAAAACACCAGTAGTAAAAGCTGTTTTTAAAAAATTAAACCTGTTGTCGTTGAGTTGATTCGGACTCACAGCGACTCTATCTATAGGACATAGTAGAACCGTCCCATAGGGTTTCTAAGGAGCACCTGGTGAGTTGGTTAGCAGTCGAGCTCTAAACCACTGTGCCATTTATTTTGTACTTCAGTAGTTGCAGTTATTGATTAGATGAGAGTGTTTCTTTAGAAAAGAGCCAGGGCTGGTGAAGGAATTATCATATCATCTTTGAACATTAATAAAATAACAAAGTTTATACCAACAGTGAGGTTGGAGACTTAATCGCTCCCGTGACAGTCTCAGGCAAGGACCCTGACACCTATGTATGTACCATATCATCTTTTTATAAATAAAAACATTTTTTTCAAATTTTTAAAAAAATCCTACCAAGAAACAAACTTTTCTACCTTACCCTCAGTTATTTCTGTATTCCAGTTCTTCCCTTTTTTTTTTCCCTTTAACAGCCAAGATTTTTCAGAAACCTGTGTTTGTTCGTTGCACTTCCTTGCCTCCCATTCATTTCACAGCTTACTTCAGTGCCTTTCCTCACCGCAGCCTCTACTGAAAGGATTCTTACTATGTTGTCCAATTAAGTAATTGCCAAATTTTAAATCTTTATTCTACTTGAGTGTTTTGTAATATTTAATACCATTCACTGTTTTCCCTTAATTTAAATTCTCTCTTGCCTTGATTGTTGGGACCAAGTTCTCCCACTTGCTTAATCCTTTTTCTCAAACTTTATTGCAGACTCCTGTTCCCCAGTGGCGAAACTAACAAAAGTAGGCCCATTACAGACAGCACAAGAGCTTATTTTACAGTTCATGATTGTGTTTCACTTTGGCATTCTTTTTGTGAATTTGTTTGTAGTCTAAAAAAACTTTGAGAGTTATAAAGCGAAACACGGCCAAAAAAATTGCAAAGACAGTGATAAGTTTACCCGTGTTGTAAACAAGATTAGAATGCCATTTGCCATGATTTAATATTAGTAAAATTATTGATAAATTAAAAATATTGATAGAAACAAAATTTTCCACTTTTCCAATGCTCCATGATGTTTTCCAAGTAATTTTTCATTGGTTTTAATTTGGAATGAATATTTCATAGTTGAATCATTAAAAATGAAATTAATAAAGAATATACTTCAAAACTTATTCTCAGAAATTTAGAGTAACTGTTCCAGCAAATTTATGAGCTTTAAATTTAACAATTTAACCTTTTTAACAATTCAGTAATCTATAGTAATTCTTCTGGTAAGTATTCAGCACCTAGAGTATGTTTTTCCAATGATAAAATTTCCCCTATTTCTTAAAAAGACAAAGATTTGGCATCTTACTGTTGGAATATTTTTGGTTTCCTCTAATCATTCCAGGTGGTTTGCTATATAATTATGTATATTATTATGTAGTATATACCTACCTCCCCAAAACAAAAGATACAAAGATTTCTCTGTCCCTTCTACTACCTTCTTTTCCCTCCTTCTTAGTTTGTTGATCTTTTCACTAGTTTGTCTTATGTCTATGTTTTGCACAGTGGTTAAGCGCTCAGCTGCTAACCAGAAGGTTGGTGGTTCGGACCCACTAGCCTCTCGGCAGGAGAAAGATGTGGCAGTCAGCTTCTGTAAAGATTTACAGCCTTGGAAACCTTATGGGGCAGTTTCACTTTGTCCTGTAGTGTCACTGTGAGTCAGAATCAACGGCAGTGGGTTTGGTTTTTTTGGTTCTAGCCACTAGAGTTAACTAATTCTATTCACTAGAATTGTTGTGAGTTGCCCTTGAGTCGATTCTGACTCATGGTGACCCCGTATGTGTCAAAATACAACTGTGCTCTATAGAGCTTTCAAAGCTGTGACCTTTTGAAAGCAGGTCGCCACCCTGTCTCCCAATGTGCCTCTGGGTGGGTTTGAACCACCAACCCTTCAGCTAGTAGTTGAGCACTTAACCACTTGTGCCACCAAGGGACTCCTGCCACTAGAATTAACTAAAAAGCAAAATTAATTATATGTTTAAAAAGCTTCAGGGTTTCTCATTGCTTGTAGTATAGATTGAAAATCCAGGTTCTGTAACACGATGTTTTTCTGTAATGAGACGGGTAAAATTGAATGATGGTATTTTCCCAATTCTCTAAGAGAGAGAATTTTTTAAAAACTTTGTCTCTCCCCAGATCTCTCAGAAGGTTTATTACTTGCTACCACTGTTTTTGTAATCTACCATAAGGTGATGTTTGAATTCGCCTACCCTTTTATACTTAGTATTTGAAGTTTACGAATGTCAACTTTTAAAAGCATTTGACAGGCCTTTCACAGTCCGGCTGCACTCATCTTGTCAATTTTATTCGCTGCCATGGCTCACTTTAGAATCTTGCAGAATTTGTTTCAACTCCTAATTGCCACTTACTTTGAGACCTTGGGCAGAATTTGTTTCAACTCCTAATTGCCACTTACTTTGAGACCTTGGGCGAGTCATTCAAAATAGTAATGACAAAAAACCCTTTTTGGATTATGAGGATTAAGTGAAATAGTAAATTTAAAGTGCTTAATACAGGGCCTGGCACATAGCAAGTACTCAAGAAGTGTTAGCCAACTGTTGTATTATTACCTTACTCTTCAGCCTGAATCTCCCATGTGCAGGATCATTCACTGCTCCAGGCCCTTGAATGCCTGATTCTTTCCTCCTTCCACTGCCTCTGTCTATTCCTCTTCCTTCAGGATTTAGCTCTTCTAAGAAGCTTTTCCTAGCATGTGTTCCTTTGTCTCCATCCTTCTGTGTGCATAGGCATTCTTCTGTTTGTGCTTTGTGTACATACCTCTATTTTAGGTCATTTATTTATTACAATTTACTAGGTTTCCAAGCTGTCTTTTTCTCAGTGGTAGGGATTAGTTCTCAATCCCAGTGTTACTTGCAGCGGCTTGCACAGTAACAGGTTTTCAGTTAGTAAATACAAATGCTGTCACCTAGGCTATGTCATTTAATCCCACAACCACCTTGTGTTAAGTAGGCATTTTTATCTCCTGTTTCTAGACGTGGAAACTAGAATCTAGATGAGGTTAAAGGATTTGCCCCAGCTACTTAATTTGTAAGTGACAGAGCTGGCCTAGAGCCAAGTTTTGTATCCTTGGTACCGTGGAATGGTGAAGAGATTGGGGTGGGTGTGTGTCAATTGATCTCTTAAGATCAGTAATTAAATATACACTACTTAGTAGAAATGAACGTAGATCATGTTATTTGTCCTGTTTAGTTTGTAGTTGTAATAGAGGAATTCCAAGACATTGTTGTTCTCCATTAGCAGTTTTCCTGTTAGGTTGCTGGTTGACCTCTTTTGTGACCGATTAGTCTAGAATTCCCCACATTTAATAACTTGCTCCTATTGTGTTTCTGTCCTCTTAATACTATACATTCATTGTCTTATTTATAATATAAATAGAATAGCATTTAATTTATTAAAAATATTTCTTGGTGATTATTTTTGAATCTCCTTGTCTTTAATTTTGTGATATGCAAGTATCTCAAGAGTTAGGATTCTGCCAGTTCAGAACTGTGATAGTTTGATTTGTATAGAACTTGCTTTCTTTGTACTAGATATTAGTTCTTAGCAAAATAATTTGATGAGCAAATATACTTAAGAAATTGAACTTTTTATTGAAATTTGCATAACAAATAAGGAGTTGTAATAGTTTGTAAGAATTAACATATCTTTTCCCAAAATTAACTCAGTTTTTTACTAATTTAAAATAGTCTTTATTAAATTTTATTATGTATTTAGTAACATCTTTAAGGGTAATTGTATATTTGTATATAAATAATAGCCCCTTTTTGTCCTTATGTAGGATTGTCATTTTAGAATCATGCTATAAATCTGGCGACTTAATGATTTGTTACGGCTTTTGTATTTGTGAAAACACTGATTCTAATAGCTAGGGGAGAGATTGTGGGGAGGAACTAGATTATTAAAGTACAAATGTATTGGCATGTCATTTTAAAAAGACAATTTCAGACCAAAGTAATAGTGTACATGGTAATCATTGTTATTCTAAAGGTTGTAATTGTGATTTAACTGTGTTAAATCATAAATCCAAAGAACAAGGGACAATTTCTTCTTTTAAAAAACAAAACGTAAAAATGCACAGTGTTTATTGCTCCACTGTATAGTATTTTTTCCATTTAGTTCATGGGTTTGTTTTGCTTTGTTGTTATTTTTAGTTTTGCTTGTTTAAAAAATACTCATAAGCATTCTTACTCATTACAGATAATTTAATTGACCGTAGTAATAAAGAAAAACTATCATCAAAAATTTCACCCCTGTGATAAGTAATATTTATATTTGATTTTAGGGAAGCTATGCGAAATTATTTAAAAGAGCGAGGGGATCAAACAGTGCTTATTCTTCATGCGAAAGTTGCACAGAAGTCATATGGAAATGAAAAAAGGTAAGATTATTGTCTTTCTGATAGTTAATTGTAGCTATCACATGATTTGCAAATGACGTGTTAATATGCACCTCAGAGGATTGTTTCTATTGTTGGGTTAATTTGCAAGCACAAAATGAAAAATAGTGGATTTTTTTCTATAGAAGGGGAAAAACCAAATGAATTGTGGCGTGTTCAGGCCGGAAAGAGCACTTAGTAAAGATCCTCTGGCCAAGATTTCACAGAATGAAATAATTTATAGTTTTTCTTTTGGGCTGCCCGATGTACCGTAAATAGTTCCATGATAAATTATCTGCTTCACAAAGTAGCTTTGCTTCTGGTAGAAAATGTACTTCTATAAGCAAATGCAACCCCCAAAATACCTCTTAAAAAAATAAGAGACTAAACAAATCCCTGATCCTAAAACTGCCTTGAGCTCGGTTTGAGTTGAAGCAGGGGGCAATTGTAAAGAAAGAGCTCGCGGTCCTCTCTACCTTGACCTACCTGTTCAGGTTGTTAAGAAAAACAGCAAAAGTGGGCTGGTACTCTCTCATGTCACCTGGATGTAGGCACTACAAAAATTGCCTATAAATCAGATGGATGTTGTTGTTAGGTACCACTGAGTTGATTTTCTACTCATAGGGACACAGTAGAACTGCCCCTATAGGGTTTTCTAGATTGTCATCTTTACGAGAAGTGCCCAGTTGGCACAGTGATTAAAACACTCAGCTGCTAACCAGAAGGTCGGTGGTTCACACCCACCAGCTGCTTGTAACAACTCATAGCCACCAAAGTCATCCTTATAGTTAGCATTTTGTCCATAGTATCTTATGAATTTCAGCATTGAAAAAATTTTTTGTACAGCCGAGAATTTTTGTTGGGTTTTGTTTTTTCATTTGTTTCCTGCAATTTTCTTGTTAATAGTTTCTTTAGTCTTTGTCTAGCAACAGTTTTGTGTTAAGCATTCCATGCACAAGGATAGCCTGCTTGTCAGGGAAGATGAAATATTTTTTGGATTATCTAGAAAGGCACTAAACTGAAGTAGGAGAAGGAATGGTGGACAACTCATATTTGGGTGTTGGGTTGAAAAGAATGGAGTGGAATCTTAGAGTGTTTGAGAGAAAGAAAATCTTAGCATATGTATAAGAGAAGGGGAAATGTAAATCTGTTATTAAAATTAATTTACATGCTAGAAACAAATTAGGAAGCCCTTTACTTAAATTCATCTCAATCTGAGCGGAAAAGGTAAAGCTACTTAATTATTTTATCCAAGTTTATTAAATTATTCAGGTTTATTAAATTTCTGATTATTTTGTCTTTTAATAAACTTAGTCATTTGATTTAGAGCTAAGTATGGGACAAAGTTGTATCTGCAGTTCTCTTTACAAATAACAAATTATCTTAACTTTCCTTTTCTAATGTATTTATTTAGTTAAATGTTAATATATGATTACTTAAGATGATTTGGAACATAGAAACCAATCAAGATCATGACTCCTTGTTTCAAGAAGTTAATACTGCAAATTCAGTAGCAGTAAGGTAACTTGAGGAAACCCATTAAAGTCACTTAATTTTTTTTTTAAAGTATTAGTATTAAGGGACTGCTAACGTCATCTAGCCCTCTGGATCACTGGCAGACTCAGCTGAGGCTTCTTCCTGGATTGAAGGAAGAGATCTGGTCCCTTACTTATGCTTGCAGTGGGGACACAGTAGAAAGAGAAAGAGGAGGCTGCCTGCCTTCTTGTTAATCTAGGTTCAGGCCTTTCTGAAGTGCCGCTAAGGTATAAAGCACGAGGTAACCTGGGGACGGGACCACACTGGCCGTCTCCTCTTGGCATATAACTCCAGTGAATGATGCTGGAAATATTTGGTCAGAAAATTTTTTCCTCGAATTTTAAATTGTTCTTGATGTTAACTTTTGTGTCTAATAACTAACATTTATTTACATAACTCATCCAGCATCCCATTTACATTTGTGGTTAGTTTTAATGTTTCATCAAAGAATATCTTCAAAGGTTAGAAAGTAACCTTTTCTTAAAAAGATTATTTTGTATATAGGAAATTTTCCATTAAAGATAGAAATAAACCATTTGACATATTAACATTAACTTTGTCTTTAGGGATGTAATTAAGCAGCATTGAAGGTGATAGTGCTGCTGTTGAGACAATTAACAGTGAAGCCATTTGGACAGTTAAACTGTGTTTCTGAAGCCATATTGAGAATGTATATTAATTGAAGTAAATGTGGTGAGCAAAAAATTCCTAAATATGGTACTTTTGAAGTGAATAATTATCAGAGAGTAATGATTCTTTTCTGCAAAGATAGAATTGTGAATTTGGATTTTGTCTAGCCTAATTTGTATGATATATTGGGCAGAATGAAAAGGCTTCTTTGAATCTGTAAGGTATTTTCCAGGCCTCATCTCAAATTTTGAGGAAAAAGTTGTTGAATGTTTCTCTGAAAATAAAGACTGATTGTTTGAACCAAGAAGTGAATAAAATTTTAAATGTGTGCACATCGCCACCAAGTGGCAGAGAAAAGCATCGTCATAGTTGCACAGCTATACCTATTGAGGGATGTGAGAATAAAGGCAGCATTGTTTAATAGAGATATCACGCTTTCTTAGCAGCTGTTAAACTCTGTAAGCTGGCCACTCATTTATCAAGCTTTCTCATTCTAGCACAGTTCTGTCTCAAAATTCAGTTTTCACTGAGTGTTTGGCACAAAGTAAAAACAAAAGGTACATATTCACCAACTGTCCAGATTTTTTAAATCATCCATTTTATACACCATCATAACGATGAATTTTAATTTTTGTCTTTAATTAGATGGCCTTTTTTTTCTTTTCCTCACTCCCTTAAATTTCCTTTCTTTTGTCTGTATTCTTTTTGTGTGTGTGAGTATGTTTGTCTTCTATTTGATTATCGTATTATTACTTAAATGTGTAGAAATGAAAATTTGATTCATTGGGATATTTAAAATATGAGTTCATCATATTACAGAAATAACCTCAATGTTTAGATTATTTTGTATTTGCCTCTTTCTTGTATCACAGCTTAAATAAGGCTAGCTCAGAGACTGTTGAAGAGTCTTTGTTTTTCTTATATTTATTACATGACTGGAAAGCACTTTCAAGAGAGGCCAAAGGGTCAGTGTCTTGAGTGGCAAAGAATTTCCTATCAACCTCTCTAATTTTATACTCTGTTAATTTCCTCCTTTTATCACAGTACTCTTGAGAAAATAAGCACTGTAGTCTTTTATAGTTTTAGCCCTCTTTATATTTTTCAGATGTGAAATGAAAGTACTTTTTTATGGTAACTCATAGAGATTTGACTACTATATTTGGTGCACTATACTAAAACAAGCTGTTTGAATTTCATAGCTAGTGTACCAATTTCCCTGGTGGTGCAGTGGTTAAGAGCTCAGCCACTAACCAAAAAGCCGGCAGTTCTAATCCACCAACTGCTCCTTGAAAACCCTTTGGGGCAGTTCTACCCTGTCCTGTAGGATCACTATAAGTTGGAATCGCCTTGACGGCAATGGGTTTGTTTTTTGTTTGTTTATCTCCTGATAGTATTTTATTGAATGTTGATATTAGTAAATTGGTATAAACCTTTAGGACAGAGTAGAACTGCCCCACAGGGTTTCCAAGGAGCAACTGGTAGATTCGAACTGCCGACCTTTTTTGATTAGCAACCATAGCACTTAACCACTATACCACCAGGGCTCCAACACGAGATAAGTTTCCAAAATTGATGACTTCTCAACCTCCTGAGAGTGTGCCAGCTTAGGTGTTTGAGTCTGTGCCATGGGTGGCTCCCAGCATTAGATGCCAGAAAGATCCCTGGTGTAGACTTGAAATGAACCAACTGCAGAACTAGCCAGCTAATCCAGGCATCCCTCCAAACTTGGAGTGACCTGGAACTGGGCCCGCTACTATGGCTATGACGTTTGTGTCCATGGCTGCAGCACCAATATGCAGGCATGAAAGCTGTTCTGATTCTTTTCAGTTGGTTGAGATCAATAATGAGAAGACTCCAGAGGCTGCACTCCTCAGTCAGCTTGACCCCCGAAGGGCCTACTTGGTCTACGTCCTAGTTACTTCTCTGGCTTCATCTCCTGTTGCACTCCCCTCTTTCTCTCCACTCCAGCTGTACTAGTCTGTGTTGTTTCCTCAGGGCCGATTGTGGTCCTGCCCTAGAGCCTTTGCACTTGCTGTTCCCTCTGCTGAAATGGTCTCACGCCAGATAGCCGCATGGCTCCAGGTCTTCACTTAGGGAAGCTTTTCCTGGCCAGTTCTGGGTCGTCTACATTTCAAGTAGCCCTTACCTGCTTTACTTTTTACGCTCAGCACTTACCACCAGCTAACAGAGTGTACACATTATTTTACTCAGTTATCCTTTTTGTCTGGCTCTGCTATTAGATTGTAAGTTCCACGAGGACAGGAATTTGTATGTGAGTAAGTGTGCGTGCGTGCGTGTGCATGCGTGTGTGTGTGTGTGTGTGTGTGTGTGTGTTGGGGGGTATTACTTTCCTGAGAAGTGCTGGAAGCTGAATTGGTTAAAGGCAGTAATGAAGTTTGATTAAAGCAGTTAGATGTATACTGGTGGGTCAGATCCCTGGCTACTCCCTACCTATCTGATCTATAACCGATTGCCATCGAGTTGATTACAGCTCATAGCACCCCTAAAGGACAGAGTAGAGCTGCCCCTTAGGGCTTCCAAGGCTGTAAATCTTTTTTTCTTTGTTGTTGTACTTCAGATGAAGGTTTACGGAACAAGCTAGTTTCTCATTAAACAGTACACATACTGTTTTACGACATTGGTTAACAACCCCATGACATGTCAGCACTCTCCCTTTTCGACCTTGGGTTCCCTATTATCAGCTTTCCTGTCCCCTCCTGCCTTCTCATCCTTGCGCCTGGGCTTTTGTGCCCCATTAGTCTCTTTTTGTTTTATGGGCGTGTCTGATCTTTGGCTGAAGGGTGAACCTTGGGACTGACTTCATTACTGAGCTAAAAGGTTGTCCAGGGGCCATACTCTTGGGGTTTCTCCAGTCTCTGTCAGGCCAGTAAGTCTAGTCTTTTTTTGTGAGTTAGAATTTTGTGCTAATCAAGGCTGTAAATCTTTACTGAAGCAGACTGCCGCATTTTTCTCCCACGGATTGACTGGTGGGTTTCAACCACTGACCTTTTGGTTAGCAGCTGAGTGCTTAACCACTGCGCCACTAGGGTTCCCCCGATTACTATAGGCATTTGAAGTTTCAGCCCCCTTGAAGAGTTGTTGTTGTTAGGTGCTATCAAGTCGGTTCCGACTCATAGTGACCCCATGTACAACAGAACAAAACACTGCCCAGTCCTGCACCATTCTCAGAATTGTTGCTTTGTTTGAGCCCATTGTTGCAGCCGATGTGTCAGTGCATCTCCTTGAGGGTCTTCCTCTTTTCCCTGGCCCTCTGCCTTACCAAGATTATTACCAAGCACGATTTCCTTCTCTGGGGACTAGTTCCTCCTGATAACATGTCCAGAGTATGTGAGACGAAGTCTCGTCATCCTCCCTTCTAAGGAGCATTCTGGCTGTACTTCTTCCAAGACAGACTTATTCATTCTTCTGGCAGTCCATGGTATATTCAATATTCTTTGCCAACACCATAATTCAAATGCATCAGTTCTTCTTTGGTCTTCCTTATTCATTGTTCAGCTTTCTTTTGCGTGCATATGAAGCAATTGAAAATATCATGGCTTCAGTCAGGCACACCACATCCTCAAAGTGACATCTTTGCTTTTTTTTTTTCTAACACTTTAAGAGGTCTTTTGGAGCAGATTTGCCCAGTGCAATACAGTGCAATACATCTTTTGATTTCTTGACTGCTACTTCCATGAGCGTTGATTGTGGATCCAAGTAAAATGAAATCTTTGACAACTTCAGTATTTTCTCCGTTTATCATGATGTTCCTTATTGGTCCAGTTGTGAGGATTTTTGTTGTCTTTATGTTGAGATGTAATCCATACTGAAGACTGTAGTCTTGATTAGTCTTTGATCTTCATCACTAAGTGCTTCAAGTCCTCTTTGCTTTTACAAACAGTCATGTCACCTGCATATCACACGTTGTTAATGAGCCTTCCTCCAATCCTAATGCCGCGTTCATCTTCATACATTCCAGCTTCTCCGTTTATTTACTCAGCATACAGATTGAATAAGTATGGTGAAAGGATACAACCCTGATGCACACCTTTCCTGATTTTACACCATACTGTATTCCCTTGTTCTGTTTGAACGACTGCCACTTGGTCTACATACAGGTTCTGCACAAGCACAATTAAGTGTTCTGGAATTCCCGTTCAGATTGAATTAGTATGGTCTTACCCTTGGAGAGACATGGCATAAATGTCAAAGTATGTACAGGTCAGTGTGTATAATTGAGTAGAGTGAATTACACCCTACATAAGGACTGGATTGATGGTCTGAACCATGTAAAATATGGGGTCTGAGCTAGGCTTTGAAATAGAGTTTTGTTATTTTCTTTAATTGCCCCAGAGAAGATTATAAGGAGGTCATTCTAGGTGGGAAGTATCTGTGAGGGTGGTTGTTGGCAACTAGCAAAACAAACTTGTTGGTAGTCTGTGCGTTGAAAGAATACAGTGTATTGTTCTTCTGGCATAAAATGTTTCTCAGTCATCCACAGTGCACCAGGTGATTGGGATTTAAGATATATAGACCGTGTTGCTGCTCTCATAGAGCCCATAGTCCAGTGATGCATTTTGCTTTTTTCTTTTACTTAGTTTTATTAATATTTTTGAAAACTTCTACTTGGACATTGCTGTAAGCTATTTTCTAGGTTAATTACTGAATAAATAAATATCCATCACAAAATGTCAGTATTAATAAATACATTGTTTTCAGTAGACCTTAATTAATAACTGCAGATTCTGTGGTAGTGTATCATGTTTTTCAACATGGTAGACAACCTTGAATTTGCTGAACTCCAATAGTGTATAGTCTGAATAATTGAATATTTAAAGAGAGGTTCTCTATTCTTAAGAAGTATCTAGTCTAGATGAATGTACAACTCCAATATAGAGGAACCTTACCTGAACAAATAAGGTCTTTGTGGAAGTCTTGATTTCTGTACTGTGGAAATGATTATTTGCATTACAAAAGATTTCACCAAAAGTTTTCATTAGGAGCTAACTTAGTGCGTTGCAATATGGTTAATGCTTTCTTGAATCTAATTGCATTGTTCCCTCATCTTCAGGTTTTTTTGCCCTCCTCCTTGTGTGTATCTTATGGGCAGTGGATGGAAGAAAAAAAAAGAACAAATGGAACGCGATGGTTGTTCAGAACAAGAGTCTCAACCATGTGCATTTATTGGAATAGGAAACAGTGACCAAGAAATGCAGCAGCTGAACTTGGAAGGAAAGGTAAATCAAGACTATGCTGGGTCTCCCCTAAAGGCGCACTAGGTACCGAAATACAGTTTTCATATTTGTTTTTGTGGTGGTGATTTTTTTTTTTTAATAGCTACTGATAGCAATTTCTTAAATACATAAATTAGAACCAGGAATATACCTCCCAGATTGCCGTTAATTTTTGGATTCATGGAGCAGCTTAAGCTATTTACATCTAAACGTGGCATTTTGCAGTAAGCCTCCCCAGCTTGCTGAACGTTTTAGGAGGCTGTGAATCTGAGATTTCTTTTAGAAGCCAATAATAAATTTAGGAGACAAATTGCTCATTTCTGTCTGGCAGATGCATGATACTCAAATTTTTATGAAATACATAGTTCACTAATGTTTTACTCTATTCTCTTAGTCTTATACTAGAAGCAAAGTGATGCAGACAAAACCTTAGAAGCATTTACTTGGCTTATAAAGATCATAAATGTTTTCCTTAGCTTCAGGGTGGAACAGAACTATACTTTAGACAAGAACAACCACAAACAGTTTTACACAAACTTTTAGAGGATTTTCTTTGATTAATTTGCTAGGGAAATAAATGTATCAACTAGTTTTACTAATTTTAATTGTTTTAATCTGTACCATTAAAAATCAAAAATAGTTCTTTATTCACTTAGAATTTAACTATTATTTTATTTTCTCCTGATACTAAAATTTGGAAACTGGTTAGTTCTGATCTCAGTGACTTCATGAGTCTTTTTAAAAATGAAACAAAAAACGATTTCCTCCTTTAGTACATCTGTATTTAAGTAGCTTAGTGTTTGTTGTATTCTACTTGGCACTAGAGATAGGGTTGGAGGGTCATTGTTGAGGGTGGTGAGCTCTAGGGGATTTGTTCTACCAAATCCAATTGTAGTCATTTTACAGAAACAAGTGAGTACTCAAAAAACCCGTTACTGTTGAGTGAATTCTGACTCATAGCAACCGCACAGGACAGAGTAGAACTGCCTCATAGGGTTTCCAAGGAGTGCCTGGTGGATTCGAACTGCCAACCTTTTGGTTAGCAGCCGAACTCTTGTACTAAGAAACCTTAATATCAGCCTCCTCGAAATTTGGTTGTTTGTGTCTAATTTTTATCAGTAAGACTTGCTGACTATATTTTAAATTAGATTTGGGATAAAACATTACAATAAACATTGTTTCGTCTTTAAAAATAACTACAATAAACATTGTTTCGTCTTTAAAAATAAGTAGCGCAGTAAAAGTATTTTTAAATTATGTCCTTTGAGCTAAAGTAAAAAATAGAGTTTAAGTAGTGGACTGATTGATTGGGCCATACATATTAAAGAAAAACCAAAACCAAACCTGTTGCCATGGAGTCGAGTCTGACATGTCTCATTTTCCTGTTATATACAAAGTCTCAGATTTAATATACCCTAGAGCTGCTGACCTAGCCATTCAATAATGATTAGATCACGTAAGAGAGGAGTCCTGGTGGTACAGCAGTTAAAGTGCTTGACTGTTAACCGAAAGGTTGGTGGTTTGAACCCACCAAGCAGCTCTGTGGGATGAAGGTGTGGCAGTCAGCTTCTGTAAAGATTACAACCTTGGAAACCCTATGGGGCAGTTCTGCTCTGTCCTATAGGGTCCTCTGAGTCAAAATCAACTCCACAGCAGTGGATTATAGATCAGATAGGTATCGAGAAGCCAGGGATTTGAACCACCAGTATATATAACTGCTTTAATCAAACTTCATTTCTGCCTTTAACCAATTCCAGCTTCCAGCACTTCTAAGGGAGGTAAATACCAAACAGGGAGTCCTCTGGGTAGCTCAGATAGTTAAGCTCTTGACTGCTAGCTGAAAGTTGACGGTTCGAACCCACCCAGAGTCTCCTCAGAAGACAGTCCTGGCGATCTGCTTCCAAAGGGTCAGGGCCTTGAAAGCCCTATGGTGCAGTTCTACTCTGCACACATGGGGTGGCCATGAGTTGGAATTGACCAGCAACCAGGGCTTCTAACCCCTGTTTAGAATTTGCATTTCTAACAAGGTCTGGGCTGAGAATTTGCATTTGCACTCCAGGTGATTCTTATGTATCACTTCCTGGGAACTTGTTAGAAAAGCAAATTTTCAGCTGGGAAATTGTTAGAAATACAAATTCTCAGCAGGGCTTCAAACCGGAAGTAAACCAGTGGGAAGCCCTGCTGAGCTGCAGGCAGCTAACAACAATAATACCAAACCAACCAACCAGTAGCATCACCCTTTGCCTTTCCCAGGAGACCTAATCCATTGCTGTTAGTCGATTCCAACTCATAGTGAGCCTATAGGACAGAGTAGAACTGCCACGTAGGGTTTCCAAGGAGTGGCTGGTAGATTCAGACTGCCAACCTTTTGGTTAGCAGCCGTAGCTCTTAACCACTGGGCTACCCAGGAGACCTAGTAATGCCATATTCAAATTCTGTACCCTTAGAGGCTGCCTCGGCATGGAGAAAGATACAATGCTATCTTCCATTATATCTTTCTTCAACTTCTACCATTATATACACTTGCCCCAAGCCCTAGAAATCGGCAGAAGAGGGACAAATATCTGAAAGCTGCATTAGCTATATTTAAAACACCTGCCAGTAGGGTTGTACATTATCTGTAAACAAAAGTTATATATTAATAATTAGTTTTTATGAAAAATAAAATAGAGAAATCTGTATAAAGTAAGCCTCGTTGAGAACCAGTAGAAGGCATTCCAAGCAGAAAGAACAACCTGATTGGTGCTAGGAGCGTAACATATAAGAACATGGTGTGTTTGGGCCAGCAGTACTCAAATCTCAAATCCAAACAGCGGCATACTGCGCTTCAGAAAGAGACACTTTGCTCTGGTCTGCTTCACGTAACCTCCATTCATTTAAAGAAATAATATTTTGTTTTACCAGCGTGTTCACTGAATGATGCACTTAGTCATTTTTGAAAAGGAAGAATATTCATTTTGTATTATTAGGTATTTGTACTTATTTTAAATATTCATTGCAACAAAATTCTAGTATTTTTAGCTAGACTTTTAAGTTTATGGTCATGACATTTGACTATATGTTGGTAATATTTTGGACGTGAGATTTCATTTAATGATGTTTATAATTTGTTAAATGTTCTTTTCTTCGATTTTATTTCTTATATAGTTACAGCTAAGTAAGTTAGAAAATAATCATTTCCCTAAGTAGCACACTTGTGTTTCTCTTATTTTAAAATGTCACACCCTCCACAACTCTCTTGCTATCATTATTTTGTTTTCTACATACAATATTTTTGCAGCATTAAATCTGCTATTTCTTCATTTCAGTGTAGTTTTTATTGCTTAAAGATCATGTTTTCAAAGAATTTAAGTTAAACTGTTTTCATCTTAATTTACATAGAGATTATGTGTGATTTTCTGTTTTAGAATTCCTTTAGCTAATTTAGCTTTTTTTAGTATGTTGAACCAAATGTAATTTTAGTTCCTATTAACTTATTTTCTTAAAGCCTTAATAGTTTTATGAGTTGTTGACTTTTCCCTTTTTTCCTTGTGGGATCCAAGTTGTTTGTGTTCAGTGGCCTCATAGTTCTTTAAAAATAATAGTTATGATAAAGTCATCTGAGGCATGATTTTTGTGGATCTAAATGACTCTCTTTTATAATTAGGGATATACTTTTTTTCCAAGGAGATGTATGTATGTGTTTTTTCCCAAACAAAACAAAAGCCTTAGTGTATAGGTTCTATGGTCTTACCTTCTCTGTTCTTTCTTTCTTTCCTGTTGGCCACTCTGTGTTATCATTTATGCTAGATTTCAGTATTTTTTCTGATACAGATTGTATCCATTAATGTTAATAGTCAAACTACATGATCTCAACATTTTTAAGCTTTCCCATTGGAATGTAATGACTTTCATTTAGACACACATTTCATTTTGCTCCGTTACTCTCCACTTTAGTACATTAATGCCCATTTTTAGAGACTTGCCTTATGTTGCAGAACACTTCCATGTTGTTGTTAGGTGCCATTGAATTGGTTCCAACTCGTAGCAGCCCTGTGTACAACAGAACAAAATACTACCCGGCCCTCTGCCATCCCCACAATCGTTACGCGTGAGCCAGTCGTTACAGCTACTGTGTCAGTCCGTCTCGCTGAGGGTCTACCTCTTTTTCACTAATCCTGTACCTTACGAATTATGTGAGACGACGTCTCGCCCCCTTCACTTCCAAGAAGCACTCTGGCCGTACTTCTTCTGAGACAGATTTATTCATTCTTCTGGCAGTCAGTGATATATTCAGTATTTTTCATAATTATACCATAATTCAAATGCAGCAGTTCTTCTTTGGTCTTCCTTATTTATTGGTATGAACTCTTCTCTGAATATCTGGTAGAATTCTCCAGTGTAGCCATCTCATCCTGGGCTTTTTTGGTGGGGGGGCAAGTTTTTTGATGATATCTTCAATCTCTTCTTTTGTAATGGTTCTGTTTAAAGTTTCTACCTCTGTATTAGTTTGGGTAGGTAGTATGCTTCTAGGTAATTTGTCCATTTCATCTTGGTTTCCAAATTTGTTGGAGTACAATGTTTCATAGTAATCAGTTATGGTCTTCTTTAACTCCGTTGGATTGGTTGTAATGTTGCTAATTTCATTTCTTAATTTGGTTTTTTGCGTCTTTTTTTTTTTTTGGTCAGTCTAGCCTGTGGTTTGTCTATTTTATTGACCTTTTTAAAGAACCAACTTCTGGTTTTGTTGGTTCTTTCTGTTGTTTTTCTATTTCATTTATTTCTGCCCTGATCTTTATTATTTCCTTTTTTCTGGTAGCTTTTGTTCTTCCTTTTCTATGTGTTCAAGTTATCGGTTTAAGTTAATGATTTTGGATCTTCCTTTTTAATGTAGGCATTTATTGCTATGAATTTCCCTCTGAGTACTGCTTTTGCTGTGTCTCAGAGGTTTTGATATGTGGTGTTTTCATTTTCATTTGATTCTAGGTAGTGTGTTATTTAGTTTCCATGCATTTATTTATTTA